TGGGGTCTAGCGGAATGGTTCAGTGGTTACGAACTCTTATACTTGCAAAGGATTTGAATTTGGGTCCCAGGAGCTTTCACCTGCCTTTAAATCTAGTTCCAGGGGATAGGAAACCCTCTTCTGGCCTCTGTGGGCACCAGGCATGTGCAGACATACATGCAAAAAAAAAATACCCATACACATAAAAAGTAAGTTTTAAATTGAAAAAAAAAAGTTCCCACTGTGGACGTCTGAGGGCAGCCGACCAAGTGCAGAGTCCAGAAATAATGCTTAAAATGTGTTTTGTGAGTCAGAGGAGCAACTGGCTGAGGGAGCCACTGAAGCTCAGCCCGGCCCACACTGGCTCAAATGCCAATCACCTGTGAACGGTTGCTACTCCTCTCTTCAGAGCCACAGCGCCGAGACCTCCTCCTGCCCTCAGACACCGGACCTGCTTCCAAAGCAGAAAATCCCCAAGGTCACTGATTCCCTAAGGGCCTCCTTTGACTTTGGATGAACTCAGAGTGTCTCAGTGTGGGTTGGGCAGTGTGCTGAGCTGAGAGAATTTTAATAGCACTCAGTGCTGTAGTTTAGAGCTGCAGTTCCTCAGAGACGGGAATCAGAACCTTCAAAAGGATTGCTTAACTGTTCTCTGTGGCTTGCCTGTGGACAAGATCCCGTTCCTTCCTCTGGAACATGGGGATCAGAAGCTTCGGCAGTCTTTATAACACCTCAAATAATCTGAGACTATTTTATTCTTGAACTGAAGTCAGCAGAATTCCTCTGAGCTGACACGCGTCTGTCACACACACATTGGAAGAGTGCTCGGACTCCGTTGGTTCCGCCTCCATTCTCAGGCCTGCAGACATACATACAGGGGAGCCCCGGTGACTGCAGAAACAGCTGTGCCCCCTCTCCCCTGGTGCTAGCTCCTCTAGGCTAGGCGTCCAGAGTTCATGACACATATCAGGTAAGGATGATCCCCAGAGGCTTAAAACTCAGTTGTTTTCTGCTTGCAATCATTCAAGCTTCTGCTAGGGCTAGAACATGCTTCGTGATCCCTGGAAGCTCATGCACTGGAACTTGGTTCCCCAGGTGGCAGTAATGTAGGACGCTGGTGCGCTTTTAAGAGCCAGGGCCCGCCAGGGATTGACTGGGAGGATGTGAGGGTCTGGTTCCTGGCTGCAGACATGACGGTTTACCCTGTGGTGGGCTCCACCGGCACCCACGCCCTGAGATGGTGTGGACAAAGAGCACACTCGACACAGACCAAGGGCTGCTGCTGAGAGTTTTAGTCTTCCGGCGTTGGAGCTAAAGAAACTGTTCTTTTAATTTTCACTCTTTTCCCAGCAGAAAGTTTTTTAAAAAAAAATAAGAAAAAGACTTGAAACAGAAAAACTTACTTTCTTCATTAATCACGTGATTAATTGCCAAGAACCTTAGAATCGTATTAGAGTATGGAAAAGCTGGTTTAATATTACCTCATCAAACTGTGAAATAAAAAAATGCCAGAGTACACTGCTACATGAACAGAGCGAGCTGAGCTGGGATTAGCAGCGCGTACCTACGATGCTAGCACCTGAAGCAGGGGCACAGCACAAGTCTGGATTGGCCTCGTCTACTGACTGAGTTCCAGGCCAGCTTGGACGACATTAACAAATCCTATCTCAAAATCAGAAACAGAAAAAGGAAAAGAACAGGAGGGGGGGTTGGGGAAAGGAGGAGAAGGAGGAGTTTTAGGCACAGAAGTGCTCTCCTTATAGACTTGAGAACCTGAACGCAACCCCCAGACCCCGCATTAAAAAAATAAATAACTAAAAAGTCAGGTGCAGTGGCTCCCACTTGTCATTCCAGAATTAGGAGGGAGGCAGAGACAGGCAGAACCCTGAGGGCCAGCCACTCTAGCTTCCTCGGCAATCTCCAGATCATCGAGAGACCCTGTCAACACCCACGGCTGCCCTCTGGCCCACATATGCATGCACATACAGAGACCTGTGCTCCCTACATAACACACAGATGAAAAGGATGTACACACTTGTGTGACTATGTGTGAACATATGATCAGACTCACATCATTGCGTGTAGAGGCACACAGAAGAGAGATGCCACGCCAGCTTGTGGGCAGTGTTGCCGCTGGTAGGCACACTCTCCCAGTGGGAAGACACATTCGCCTCCTCCCTCCCTCATTCCTCTCTCAGTGCTGAGTTCCCAAGAGGAGCTGGGTCCCTCCCTTAGAAGATTCCACCTGCCTAGGATGAAGACACTGTGCTCTGAACTCTTGGTAGAGCTTGCTGTTCCCAGGGACGGGTAACTGAACAACAGGCGTGCAGCTAGCACAGGCGAGAGGCACCTGTGATCCTCACCAACCACCGCAGGCATAGAGTACTAAACCACACCTAATCCAAACACAAACCCCTGGTGTTCTAAGTGCATCTTCAAAAAAAAAAAAAGTCTTAGGCTTTCATTTTTAAAACTTCCTGTTCCGTGTATTCATCTTGCCTTTATCCACCCATGTAGCAGGTGTGTATGGAGTTCCAAGAGTAAGTCCCTGTTTTGATTGGTTAGGAGATAGCATGACAGAAATTAATCCTGGCCCGGGGACAGCTGGTAATTCACCAGGGGGAAAGACAACAGTAGGTTAAGCAAGCTAAATGTTGAGTAGGCGAGAAGAGGTGCAGAGGAAAAAGAAGAGTAAAGAGCAAGAGAGGGAGTGGGCGTGCAGAGAGGCACCCTGCCTTCTCCTGACGTGGCTGGGAGTGTACGTGTCTACTGGAGGGCCAAACAAGACCCCTAGATCCTAGAGACATCAGCCTCAGCATGGTGGCTGCCTCTCCTGCTGCTTAAGAGCACTCAAAGATACATGGTCAAATATGACTAACGTCTAAAGGGCACCATACGGTGAGGGCTCAGAGGAGCACACCCTGGATACTGGCTGTGCACCCCTATGCAATGGACACTGGCTGTACGCCCCTGTGTACTGGACACTGGCTGTACGCCCCTGTGTACTGGACACTGGCTGTCCACCCCTGTGTACTGAATACTGGCTGTGCACCCCTGTGCACTGGACACTAGCTGTGTACCCCTGTGTGCTGGACACTGGATGTCTGCCCCTGTGTGCTGGGCACTGGCTGCATACCCCTGTGCACTGGACACTAGCTGTGCACCCCTGTGCACTGGACACTGGCTGTCCACTCCTGTGTACTGGGCACTGGCTGCATACCCCTGTGCACTGGACACTGGCTGTCCGCCCCTGTGTGCTGGACACTGGCTGTGTCCTTGGGACTCTACTTTGCAGCTCTGGGCAGACTGCATGAGCTTTCATACACAGGAAGGTCTCGCCACCCTCGACCAAGGACATTCCACAGGGAGGGAGGGAGCGCTCCTGGAATACAAGGATGCCATCAGCCCTACCTCCACGTCTAAGAATCTGCACTTGCAGAAGGGGTTCCCGCTAATCCCAGCAAAGCCAGCGTGGGGCCTGTGGAACACAGCTTTCTACAATCCGCCCTAGCACGCCGGAAAACACATTCTAAAGCCACTTAGGCGGTTTCTTTTTAATGTAACTGTTAGACTTTGGGGGATTTAATCAAAACCTTCATAACAGGGCATTCTCTTCCAACTCGGCTTTTCCGTTCCAGGGGCAGAAGTGCTGTGCACAACAGCAGAAGAAAAAAGTAATTTAAAAATGTCATTGAACTGAATCTGCTTAGCTGCCTCTGGAACCGTAGCTCTTAGGGAAACACAGGCTGCTAGCGCCCCCTAGGGAGCAGTACCGGAGCTGGTCACATTTTAGACAGCAGCTTGAGAGGACAAACTTGTCATCCCATCCAGGGACACTAGCAGGGCTGTAAATAACTTGGCAGCCTGCAAAGCATGGATGTGGGGAAGGGGGGCTCCCTGTGGCGGATGAGTTAGAGGATGGGGCAGTGGGTGGATGCTCATCTTTACTGCAGTTCTCTGAATTAATCTCTGACAATGATGGACAGTCTGGTAGTGAGTGATCGGCTGCTGGGAATGGGCACGTAGTGCAAAGAATCATCAGTCCCTACAGCAAAGGAACAATATCTGTGTTTACAAGGGCTTGCTGCATCTCATACCACACGGGCTAATTAAGTCAATTCTGTGTGTAGATGAGTGTGTGCACGCATGTCTCTGTGTGTGTGTGCGTGTGTAATCCAGAAGCTGATACACAGTGTCTTCCTCAAATGTTCTACACCTCTTTTTTTTTTTATTTTAGTGAGGCAGTGTACCTTACTAAACCTGGAGCTCGCTGATTCTGCTAGACTGGCTGACCAGGGAACTCTGAGATCTTCCTGTCTCTATCTTAAGGAATGTTCAACACTTAAGGAATGTTCAACATCCTTAGTCATTGGAGAAATTCAAATCAAAACAACTCTGAGATTCCATCTTACACCTGTAAGATGGCCAAGACCAAAAACACTGATGACAACTTATGCTGGAGAGGATGTGGGGAAAAGGGAACACTTCTGCACTGCTGATGGGAATGCAAGCTGATACAACCCCTCTGGATGTCAGTGTGGCGATTTCTCAGAAAATTAGGAAACAACCTTCCTCAAGACCAAGCAATACGATTTTGGGGTATATATTTAAAGGGTGCTCAATCATACCAAAAGGACATATGCTCAACTATGTTCATAACAGCATTGCTTGTCATAGCCAGAACCTGGAATCAACCTAAATGTCCCTCAACCAAAGAATGGATAAGGAAAATATGGTATATTCACACAATGGAGTACTATACAGCAGAAAAAATAATGGCATCTTGAAATTTGCAGGCAAATGGATGGAGCTAGAAAACATCATATTGAGTGAGGTAACCCAGACCCAGAAAGACAAATACCAAATGTACTCACTCATAAGTAGCTTTTAAACATAAAACAAAGACAACCAGCCTACAAATCACAATCCTAGAGAACCTAGACAACAATGAGGACCCTAAGAGAGATTTACATGGATTTAATCTACGTGGGAAGTAGAAAAAGACAAGATCTCCAGAGTTGATGTGGGAGTGATTTCTTATTAATAAAGAAACTGCCTAGGCCCCTTGATAAGGCCCACCCTTGGGTGGGTGGAGAAAACAGGAGAATTCTGGGAGAAGGAGTCTTGGTGGAGAGTCGCCATGATGCTCCCACTCCAGACAGACGCAGGTTAAGATCCTCTCTGGTAAGCCAGCTCATGGGCTACA